AATCCTGTTTGATAAGCTGCTCTGCAAAGAGCAGAATGCCAATGTGGATGAGAGCTCCCTTTTCCTGCCTGGGTAGCCATAACAGATGGTCCATAGTGGAACTCCAGTCACACAAAAAAACGTGAAGTGGCACAAATCTGAGTCACTGCTACAAAAATCTCTGTTCTGGAGGGCTCTTGACTGCTGTTCTGACTGTCTGGGTGCTAAAAAGCAGAGCTGAACTGGTGAGGAGCTGGCCCTGAAAATTCCTTTCCAGCTATTTTTAAAAAGCCCTTTTGTATGAGAGTGAGGCAGTGTAAGTTTTAAAAAGGATTGGTTTGTCTTGTCCCTTTGATAGCAGTGGAAAAACACCAATAAAAAGGATTTACTATTGCTTATAGATCTCCAGAAAGGCAGGTACTGAATGTGCACATATTTTCATATACATGCCCACATGCTTGAATGGGAGATGTTGGTCATGTGAACTTTTATCTGAGGAAAGTTAATTTTTATTCTTGCAAATTTGTATTACATGTATTTATACAAATACATACATAAACAACTACAGATATACATCTATGTAAAACACCTGGAATACTCAGTTCTTCTCCATCTCTGCTTGGGATTCACATAACCATTTTCAAAGTAGCAATTTTTACAAAATACGGGCTAAACAGAGAATAGGAGAAGGACAAGTAACAGTACCCCTTTGAAACATCAGCACTTTTACATTCATATCTTATGTTGTACTCTGAAATCTCATCACAGATGAGGACATCACAGATTAAAGTACAAACAAGAAAGCGAGCAAGAGATAAATGGGAAGCCTACTGCGTAAAATCTGATGGCCAGATGATAAAGAAAAGGTAAGATTTCTGTTTATTCCCTGATAAAGCCTGTATTTTTTCTTGAATTGTTACTGTCCAAACATCACCTGATATAAAACACATCATAAAAATGCTTTGCACAGCCAAAATGGACCAGACAGACAATATGATGACCATCTAAGAAATGAATTAGCTGAATGCATTATTTACCAGCTTGTTCAGCTGGTACTGAAGACCTAATTCTGTAGCTATTACACAAAGTCAGAATGAAGAGTAAAAACATCTCTTTACACTGGACAGTGGACTTGGACAGCACTGTTGATTTTTATCCCTTCTGTGGCAGTTATTTTAATATATACTCACATCACAGGCTTCAGTTTTAGATTTTTGGTGTTTTACAAAGATGGATTCATCTCATATTAGGAAAACTGAAGTAGAATCATGTAGAATGACTTGCTCAACTGCACATAAAGTGCCAGTGTAGCCATCAGGCTGTGCTAGAATGTCCCTTCTGCAGATTGTGCTGCCAGTAACTTCATGAGCTGCTCATTGCACTGTTCACATCAAAAGCTGCGCACAGGAAGCGAACAGAACTGAGGAATTCTGAGCTAAAGGAATTAAGCACATGGAACAGCAAAACATATACAAACACAAGTTCTGTCCCTCACTAATGGGGACATTTTTTGCCATATTTTACCTTACATTGGTATAACTCCGACCCAGATTCTTTGTTATTCACCTTTGTTTGCATTTAGATTATTTTAGTTGGTTTAGTTTAAGCAAATTTAAAGATTTAAATATCTACAAATACATACAAATCACTCTTCTAAATTTAGAGTTACACAACCCCTCTGTAATTGTGGCACAGTTCAATCTTAGTTTTGCTTTTTTAAATACAATTCTTCTGAGAAGTGCAATCGATTTACAGAGGATGACAAATTCTACAGTTCTCTGACTTAACATCATGTGGAATTTCATTTTAAAAGATGTCTTGACTGCTTGATTATAAAATAAAAATGAAGGCATAGCATTAGGGCTGTTGCAGGAAATAATTTCTCAAGCAGCATTAGTCTACTTGAGGGAAAAATACCTGGCTTGGGAGGTCAGCAGAAATGGATGCGGGGGTAAAACAGGTCAGCAAGATTGTGAATACATCAGACTGATTCAAAAGCATTGTACTGGGATGTGTAAACAGGCATGGGGACTGTGACAGGCAGGACAGAAGATGTTGGTGTTGTTGAGGTCTTAATTTTAGTAATGTCCAGTCTTGTGTGCTACAGTAAAAAAAAAAAAAGAAAAAAAAAAGTGAACGATTTTGAGACAACACAAGGAAAAGACATAAGCATCTTAAGAGGTTTAAAACTGTGCCACACCAGGAAGGATTGAAAGCAAGCGAAATTGCTTTGCCTACAGGTAAAAACAAAATAGGGGAGACCTATATCTTAAGATATAAAAAGGTATTTTGAGAGATGAGAGGCAAAACCACTGACATCCATTACAGCTATATTTCAGTGGCCATGAGCTTTTAACTAGTGTTCCAGATTCCTCAATGGCAGCTGGACCAGAAAACTGGCTGAAAATTAGCAGTTTTGAAAGCAGTTTGACAACAGCTTAAACGACTTTAAGTCAAGTCTAACACAGTTAACACTTCCTCTGTTATGCCAAAAGCTGAGTCAGGAAGCTGAGTAAGACAACAACTAGATATCCTTTGCAGGGTTAGCAATGTTGAAAGGATTCAGTACCTGCACAAACAGAAGGGATGTGACTGACCCACCAAAGCAACCAACTCTGCCTTCAAGCTAATTCCCTAAGAAAAAGACTGTACATCAGAGGGATTTGGTCATATCAACATGGGAGAGCTGCTACTCATAGAAGTCAACTTTTTTTTCCTGCCAGAAATACAGGTGAAATGGTGGAGCCCATTTTAAAACATAACATTCATATTAACACCATGTCTTGGTTTGAAAAGACAGGTGTCTGCTAAGGAAGGCAGAAGCCCCCTTTGAAATGGAAAAATGTAAACCCCCCTGAACTACTATAATTTTGAAATGAAGGGGCTCTTGGGAAAAAATATGGGAATAGGAATAACAGTTCTTGACTAGGAAAATAAAAATGCAGTAGTACAAAAGACACCACTGACAGAGCTGGGATACAACCTGACACCCTGTTGGTCAGGGTGTTGGTAGCTGTCCATTCAAAGGTGGCTGCAGTCCCCCTGCAGTGACAGATGTGGTTCTCTTGAAGCAGTGATCCTGTGGAAGGGTGTAGTTTTCCTCTGAAGGTCCAGTGGTGTAGATGGGTCCGGTATTTCCTCTGGGAATCCAGTGGAGAAAGGCTCCTGTGGTGTTCCCAGTCTCAGATTATATCCAGGTAGGAATGCTGGGCTCCTCCCCCTGGGTGGAGCATCTCCCAAAGGGATGATGTCATTTTATCAGTCCTGCAGTGAGACTCAATGGCCCATGAACAGGAGAGATCCCCCTGGAGGGAGGATGGGTGGGGAAGAGATAAAGAACACTGCCCCACCTGGTTTTAACAGCTGTCCCATTAACAGAAGAGATCCCCCAGTTAGGAGGGATGGGTCATGAAAGAGATAAAGAACACTGCCCCACCTGGTTTTAACAACTGGTAATAGAATATACATACTTTTGGTTACATCTTGCATTGCAACCTAAGTCACACCATTACAGAATCACACAATCAGGCTGGAAGAGACCTCCACGATCAAGTCCAACCCAAGACTGAACACCACCTTGTCAACCAGACCATGGCACATCCAGTCCTTCCTTGAACACCTCCAGGGGAAGTAACTCCACCAGTCTCCTTGGGCAGCCCATTCCAATGTCTAATCACCATTCCCGTACAGAAATTCTTTCTAAGGTCCAACCTAAACCTGCCCTGGCTCAGCAGGGATGTTCCCTAACATCCCTCACTGTGTCCCTTCATTTCTGTCACTTGTCAGAGAGAAGAGACTGAACCCTTGGCTACAACCTCCTCCTTTCAGGGTGCTAAAGAGCACTAAAATCACCCGGAGTTTCCTCTTCTCCAGACTAAACTCAGCTCCCTCTCATAAGACTTGTGTGCTGCAGACCCTTGCCCAGCTTCCTTATCCCGTAGCCATTAGATGTATTTTGGGAAAACCCACAACAAAACCAAACAAACCAAAAACATCAAACACCAAGCCATCGGGTAGATAAATTTAAACAAAATTTATGATATTTAACCATGCTATCTACAAACAGTCGTTGTGCTGGTCCTTGGTCCCACGTATAAATAAATATACTTAGGGGCAAAAAAACCAAAGTGATGGAGACAGCGATCACATACTGGGCTAAGAAACCCAAGGGTGCAGAGCTGCAGCAGCGAAGAGTGAGGGGCGCTGCTTCCCAAAGGAGGGAACTGCCGGGTCGGTCGGTCCCTCCGGCTGCACCCAGCGCAGCCCCTCGCCACCAGTCCGCCCCGGAAAACGGCTCCGTGCCCCCCGAGAGGGTCCGACGGAGCTTTACCTCAGCCTGAGTGCGGTTTCACCTCAGCAGCGCCGGGTTTTACTGCTCAGCCGACGGGCCCCGCCGCTCGCCCGGGCGAGGGACGCGAGAGAGGCGAGGGAAGCGCGGGGCCGCGCTGCCGGGGGAGGGGGCGGCCCTTTCCCGGCGGTCCCGGCGGCCAAGGCGGCTCCGGGCGCCACTGAGGCGGCGCGTCCCGGCGGTGGCTCCGGTGGGCGGTCGGGGGCGGTCCGCGGGCGGGGGGCGGTGGCAGCAGCGCGCTCGGTTGTGAGCGAGAGCGAGTGCGTGCGAGCGAGTGCCATGGCCGGAGCCCGCTGAGAGCCACAATAGGAGCGAGACCCCGACGCCCACCGGGACCCCCCGCTCGCTCTCCTCCGCGCCAGCCGCCGGCGGAACAGCAGCGCTCCCCGCCCTGCCCGGCACTGCCCCCCCCCGCGCCCGCCGCTCCCCCTCGGCTCGGCTCGGCTCCCTCCCGCCTCGCAGGGCCCTTCTCCGGGAATGTGAAGAGGCAGCAGCACCGCAGGCAGCGGGGAGTGCACGGGACTGAGCGGAGCCGCCCGCGCCTGAACCCGCCGCCGACGCCGCCCTGCGCCGGGGAGGCCGCGCTGCCGCCGCCGCCGAGGCCGAGGCCTACAGGGCTCCTGCGCCGCCGCGGCAGCGACCGAGCCCGGCGAGAACCGCACTCGGGCCGCCGCCGCCGCCAGGCATCGGCCGCGCTCCGCCAAGGCCGCCGCCGCCTCCCTCCGTCTCCGGCTTCTCTACCAGGAGCGTCAAGGTAACTCCATCGCCGGCCCGGCGGTGCGGGAGGAGGCGCGGGGGGCTGCGGGAGGACATGTTCCAGCTGCGGAGATCCCGTCTGGAAATGACAGCCGAGAGCGGATAATTGCGCCTCTGCTCCCTTCCCCGCCGATATCCGTCGGTATTTTCACTTCCCCCCCCTACCCCCCCCACCCCCGGGACCGGCGGATCTGATGAGCGTGGCTTCGTATTTACCAAAATACTCGGGGAATAGAGCGGAGGAAGCAGGGAGCGGTGGCCGGGTTTGCAGCTTTCCCCCTCGCACACAATAAATAATCTCGGGCTTTATTCCCCCCTCCCCCCCACTGTTGGTGGAAACAGAGTATTTCCCTGTGACAGTGTATGCAGGGCAGCGAATGTTCATTTGGAGAGACGAAAAAAAGATCAGTGTTTACTGTAAGGTTGTTAGGCTGGATGTAGTCTTGTTGAATTAGAATTAGATTTTAATAATTTATAAAGCAGGTTAGGGAAACTGTTACTAAATTTACAGCAGAGAAGTGTCAGTAAAGCTCCTTGCTGACACAATGATCCTGCAGTTTAAGTGATCTACTTTAGTCGCTGTCCATTATTATTATTATTATTATTTTTTGTAATTTAATTTGGAGAGAGCGTGCAAACATTTCTGCAGGGATGGTTGCACTTTAATGATGCACGTGATGAGGAGGGGAATCTTTCTGATGAGATGGGGCCAAACGGATTCAGGTTTAGGAAATATATTTTTGCTGATATTTTCAGAATTTGGTTTATGTAACAGGTAACTTTGTGTGTTTTTTGGCGGACTGTTGAAATCTTAGAAGTGGGTTACTAAAGTACAGGCCATTCTATTTCAGTTTATCTGACTTTTTTATTTATTAATCTTGGCTGGGGCCTGAATGCCCTGGTGATGGTGGCATTTTTTTTTTTCCGCCTGGATGATAAACAAGACCAGTTTAAGGTATGGGTTCATGTTGCTGATAGTATATTATATTTAGAAAGCCTAAGGTGGTAACGGAAGAATACCTCAGGAGAAATCAAAATGCTGGACTAAGGTTTTTTTTCATTATTGTAATTCCAGCTGCACAGTTCAGCTTCTGGGTGCTGCACATGCTTCCTTGAGGAAGCTATGGAGTTCATACTCCATTTTTGATTGATTCAGTGCACCTATATGTAATTTTGCATTAGGTAGTTCTTATCTTTTGGAGGTTGTTTACACTATTGCAACAAATCGTGCTTTTGAAAGCTTTTCTTACAAAAGACAAACCCAAATAATGTCTGTTTCAGTGGATTTAGGAACCTATGAAGCACATGAGTAACCAGATATTTCAATAAAAATAATAAGTACTCAAAAGTGTTCTGTACGTTGTGGAATCAACTTCTTGTAGCGCACGAGTCACTTTTGGTAATTGAAGTCAACAGACACTGAGGATGAGTAATGCTTTCCAAGGACATGTTCTAAGACCCTGATCCTGCAAATGCTTACGCCGATGCTTAACTTTGCACGGGTGTCTGTCCTGGCCGAAATGAACAGAGCTGCCCTCGTTAATGGTCGTGTCATTAATGCAGATGAGGCTGCTGATTTCAGTGGAGCTGCACATGCTGGTGGAGTTAACTGTGCACCGAGCTGCTTGTAACATGTAGGCCTGAATTCCTCCTGTCTCCTCTCCCTGGAGTATTACTCATGTATTTCATCAAGCTCTGATGGGCCTTTTTAACAGACAGGACCAGACTGGTAAATAAAATAGCTGGATGCATTAATTTGGTGTTTGCTAGTGGTACAGAATCAGCTGCAGGAGTACCACCAAGGCAGGTCTTGCAGGAAGAAGCAATGCCTATTGCTTAGGCCAACTGAAGTTGGGAAACAAACTTTTGCTTGCAGAAGCCTTTTTTGGCTCTCTGCCTCTCCCTGCAAACCTTGTCTGTCTCATGCCCTTAGAGCAGTTACACTGCCAGTTGTCCAGAAATGCCAGGACATGGAATAACTACATGTAAAGGGTCTCACAGGAAAGTAACTGAGTATTTCTGAAATGGAGAATAAAGAAGTAATATGTAAAAATTCTCAGTGTTAGTGAAACTGTGAAACCTAGCAATACTTTTTTTATTATACTTTCTTAAATTTCTGTAGAATCTTGTATATAGGTGTGGCAAATAAATGGGATTTTTGTTCTGTCCTGTATTTTTTGTCCTGAGCATATGGGTGATCTTAATGCCAAAAAACCATCTGTGCCTTTTTGTGTACCCATTCCTTAGGAGAGGAAGTTGAAATTACTTCATCCCAAAGAATGCATAATTTAAAGCTACAGTCAGGTCCACGGGTGTATGAAGTTCTGTTCTGACAAAGTTCTGAATGCAGTGATGTCAGCATTAGGTCTGAAATTTTTGGCAAATGGGAGACCCAGATAAAAAAGTAAGCAAGAAGAGTTACTGCGCTAATAATTAAGTTCCACTAAGTTTATTCCATCCATAAAATGGGTTAGATCTCTTAACAGTTTATCTGTGTGCATTGTCAACAGGAGAGTAGTGCAGGAAGAAGATATTTGGAAAATTTAGAGAAATCTTTACCAATTTAACTTATTTGGAACACATTTTTAACATGTGCTTTCCTTCAGCAGGGATATGTCCTCAGCACCAACTACTCCTCCATCAGTGGATAAAGTAGACGGATTTTCTCGGAAGTCCGTCAGAAAAGCCAGACAGAAGAGGTCACAAAGCTCCTCCCAGTTTAGGTCTCAGGGCAAGCCTATCGAGTTAACTCCCCTGCCTCTGCTAAAAGGTAAGATCAAACAGTTTTTAATAAATAAAACAATTTTTGCTCCACAGCCAACTTTTAAAATCAAAGTATTCTGTTGTCAGGAGTTGCTGGGAAATTTACCCAGCATTGAAAAATGTTTCATGCCAGATATGTATGTATTTAAACTCTACAAAATATTTTATCTGTGACTTGAGGGTGTGGTAATTGTTTGCAATGCTTTTGAAAATTTTAACTGCTGATGTTAACCCATACCATGATTTGAATTTTCAAGGCTATCAGGCTTTGTGCAAGAGTGTTCTGGTTTGTGAATCCTCAGCAGCTGACATAAATCAGCAGTAATATTGGTAAGGGTAAATGGACTTGTGAACCAAGGGAAACTGGTTTTTACTATCTTTCCTTGGTGTGAGGATCTGCACCCTGTGATAGTGGTGCCAACTGCAGCCCCTGTAGCAAGAGAGGAGGTGGGATCCCCTCTCATGCCATATGTGCATGGATAGCTCCCCGGTCCTGCCTTCTGCAGGATTTTAAAATGGAAAGGTCCCATGAGCTGCAGTCTCCCCAAGGGGAGCGGTGCTGCCAATCTGGTCTTAGGCAAGGCCCTACTGTTTTGAGATCTTGCATATCCAAATGCTGGTTGAGCTTCTGCTGGTAGATTTAACCTCTGATTTGAGAAGGAAAAATATGATCCAGTATACTACCCTTAAAAGGATGCCAATATCTGTGTGATATGTTGAATGCGTCCTCTGAATTCTAGTTGTCACTGAATTTTGGTACAAATCCAGGGGTCTAAAGCACTTCTCAGTAGTGTCTGTCTCTGGTGAGGAAGGGGAGATCACCTTTCAGAAGTCTTCAACAGTGACTTCTCAAATGGTTTATTCTGTGTATTTTTTTCATTGCTACTCTTAATTTCTGCTATAAGTAGTGAAAATAGGTATGGGTGGTGCTGATAATTCTCGAAAATAGGAAGTTAAATAGGTTCAATACTATGTCTGTCCCTTTTCTTCCTTTTTGAGCAAGTATATTCCCTACATTCTCTCATCTACCTTGTTTGACAAATTGGTTAATCAGTGTTTTAAAATATGTAATAAATGTGGAGCTGCGCTTCAGTTAGTTCTCAACCCCACTTCATAAGGATACAGTAGTTGCAAAAAAACCCCAAATCCCCCCACAATCTCTCACCTTAATGTGTGTCTTTAATTAAAAGTAGGGTTCTAGGATCAGTTCCAGTGGAGTTGTCATTAAAATATTGTGGGCCTCTTTCTGTGGCTTCTTGTAAGAATGGAACATCCTGAGTCAAATGAAAGGTGCACCCAGCCCCCCTGCACTGTGTTTGGTGGTGACTTTTATTCAGTATTTCTCAGTTTAGGGTTGGTTGATGCCACTGGATTTAACTTTGTAGTCTGCAGTGAATGTTGTTTGTGATTCTTTGGCTGATCCTGTGCAGGGGCCAGGAGTTAGATTCAATGATCCTGTTGGTTCCTTTCAACTGAGGTTATTCTATGATTCTAAAATCATTTCTCTCTTTGTTGTTGAACCCTTTTGTTGTCTTGTGACAATATGATAAAGAAGCAAATGCTGCTTTGAAATAATTTTAAAGCTCAGTTTTAGACTTTTTCGGGTAATTTTTGATATGCAGGTTATTTCATACCAGCTCCTGTGCTTCGGAAGATGACTGGAGTTTATCCTTTGGTTTAAACAATGGGATTAGTGGAAAACACTGAGATTTGTGTTTGTACAAATGAAGAAATTGATGTTGTAATTATTTCACTCTATTCTGTAGCCCCATTCAGGGAGTAAACCAGGTATGGGCACAAGCATAAGTAAAACAGTGAGAACCTTGTCTTGCAGAAACACAGGTGTGTCCAGGTGCTTAATCTGACTATTGCAGCCAGTCCTGAGGATTGAAATATAAAACTATAATAAGATAAAACAAACAGATGGAGAGCAGAGAGTGTTGGTGAGACATTTATGATTAGTGTCATAATGAGTTACAGTGGTCCAGCTTCAAATTAAGAATCTGATCCTGGGAGTTAGTTTTCCCTCTTTGCCTTAATTCAGATTCCCAGAGGCGCAGGGCTCTACCTGTGCAGATTAATTTGTGGGATTTGGGCCTAACAGTTTCTCTCAAAAGTAGTGCTGTGGGTCCCTGCTGATGGGACACTGTCAGCTAAAAATCATGCTGCTGTTTGGAAATATTTTTGACCTACATTAATATTTGTAACATTCAGGATTGTTAAGTCTGCAAGAAGTGAGGAAATTTTTTCCTGTGTTTGTCATACTTTTCTTGACAAATTTTATGAAAGTCGTGGTTATTTTTTAACTCTTAGGTTTACACTTGCCTTCCAACAAGTGACCAGTCCTATTACTTCTGTCCAGTAACCATATGATTTCCAGTTTTAAATTAAATTTTGTCTTTTAAACTGAAGTAGAGAAGAGATGCCAGCAAAACAGCTTTTTAAAGTCTCAGAAAACTGAACTTAGTTTGGAGATGTACAATTGATAAGCTTCCTGGTTTGAGTAATTTTCAAGTTTAATTAAACCTCTTCGGAAATATCTCAGTATGGGAAGTTTTCAGAGGATAGACCTCAAATTCATATTCATCAGATGTATTTCATACACATGATGGAGGGGTTTTGCTTACATGAGCATACATTCTGTTTTGTGTTGTTTTTTTTAATGGATATATTGCATATTGACATTGGCAGGCTGCCTTATCTCAAGCAGCACTTTATGGCCTTCAGTATCTTCTGTGATTACAAGAATCATGTATGCAGAAAACTGGGTAACTGCTTGGTCCAATCCTTGCAAGTTTTTATACTCTGCCTGTCACCATCATGATCTGAGCACCTTCCAGTAGTGTATTAAGTGACGTGACTACACATCTGTCACATCTTATCTGTTCTCCTTCCTTTCCCTAGGGGCAGAGTCACATATAGTGAAATGGCTTGTTTTGGTAGTGTTTTAATGCAGTCTGTTGCCTTCTGTGAGCATACATGCCTGTATTGCAAAAACAGATAGATAAGCCAGCCTTGTTGTTGTTCATTTGGTAATAAAAATATTTTGGTAAAGAAAAATAGGAGAGATGCTATGTTTTGATGCTGTGTACAAGTCGTAAGGATAAGCTGCTATTTAGGAAAAGTAATAGAATCAGCTGGAATTTTCGGTGTTGCTCATTTCTGAAAAAAAAAGCATAGAGAAATGAAGTTATTCTTGTATTTTTTTTAAAAAAGTGTATGTATGGTATCAATTTGTAAACAAACATTTAATGTATTTGGAAAACAAGGTGTTCTTTCTGAGGCTTGCAGGGATGAGTTCAGGCTTTAAAAGGCCCCAAGTCAAAAAACTGCTGTTTGCCTAGTGTAAAGACTAAAATTTTTAGATTATTTCATTATATTTTTATTTATTGCATCGTGACTAAATCCGATTTGAAGTTGTCTTTAAAATCTGACTATTGTCCAATGTAACACTTTAAACCCAGTGTTTTCTCCTTTGTATCAAGTGTAGAGGAATGGGATGGGAAGTGCACATGGGAGTTGTGACACAATTGCATTTTGCCTATGTGTGCTCTTCTGTATGTTTCTCACATGCATTTTTTTGAAAGTTGCATGCTTTTCCCTGGTGTCTTGCAGTGCATGATGGATTTTGGCTTTACTTTGAAGAGGTTGCTGCTATCACCCAGGCTGACAGGTGCCTTAGGTAACTGGCTTGTGGCAGAGCAGTCCTGGTGAACGGCCCTTTTTTGGGATTAAGTAATTCCATCTGTGTGCCTCAGATTCCCTCCCAGGTTTGCTAACCAGGTTTGTGGCGTGCCTCAAATCTGTGCTTGTTCTGTGGAGGAAAATAGGATTGTAGATGCATTGGATAGGTGTATTATTTATTGGAGGGCTATTTTACTTTCATTTTGTATAGCTGCTCTTTTTACTTAGAAGTCTCCAGAGGTGGATCAGCAGGAGTGCAATGTTAGAAAGCATTTGGCTGGAAAAAGAGTATATTGTAGTGCTGGACATGTGAAAATAGCAATTTCAGTATTACCTGCAAAAGGGGGAGGGGGAGTTCATTTATTCTTCTGCTTCTGGTGTCTGTAGAGGCAGGGGTGTGTTCAGAGGTTGAAAACAGATGATTAAAAACGTCATGTGTCTTATGAATGCAAATTTCGCATCCTGAGAAATTGCGCAGAAAACTTGCATGTAGCTCACAGCATTGTTCCCACCCCTCTTGCCCTCATTACAAATACAGAAGTTAGGCAAAGCAAGCCATCCAAAAGTGAGACTGTTAATTGTTAAATCATTTGTATCCCATTTTTGTAATTCAAGGTGTGTTTTTTTTCCTGTCATCCTTCCACATTTTCCAGTGATTTAAGGTAATTAGTGAAGGTTACTTTCATGTTCTCTGCAAGTATTGTATATTTTTGTTGAAAACATTTCAAAGTACAGTTTTTATTTTTAGATTATTTTTTTTCTCCTTGAAATAAGTGCTCGGAGCAGAAGTTTTCTGTCAACAATACCAATTGCTTTGCTACCTCAATATTATGAAGTTTATTGAGCTTCTAATACATTTATCAGATAGTTTCTATGGCATTAAAGAATTGGTGTAGTGGCAACAAAAGAGCATTGTATAGTCAAAAAGGGAAAAATCTCTTTCCACTTGCTACTTGCTTTTGATCATTAAATTATTTCACTATAGCTGAGATTTTATTATAAGCTTTTCTTATGAATCTTATCTGTAGGTCAAATGCTGAAGTTCCTAAATAGTAAAAAATCCTAACAATACGAAAAGACTCTTGACTGAGAACTGCAGGATGTGCACCTTCTTGTTCAAATGCAGTTACTTCTGAATTTTTAAAATATTCCTTTATCCTAAAAAAGTCTGGCCTTTTCAGACCTATAGATACCACCTAAAACTCTTCGTATGGGAAGTAGTTATGATTTGAGTAGTAGAGGAAGAAAGACAGAGTTTCTGTTTTCTGTTGGCTTCCATGGGAGCTGCCTGCTTATCTTGTCTGTGCTGCTCTTTGTTTGAGA